CCCAGAATTCCCCAGCCAGCGAATGCTGGCTGGGGAATTCTGGGAGTTGAAGTCCGGACATCTTCAAGTTGCCAAGGTTGAGAAACACTGAGTTACAGACATGGAATTCAAAACATCCAAAGGAGCCTCGTAGCGGCTTTTCACAATTAAGAAACTGCACGTAACGAATTTCATTGCGGCTCACTTTATCGGACGCCCCGTGGGGCGGCTGGGCTGATGTAGGACTTGGATTGGGGTGAGGCGGAAGGGCGTGAGAGGAAGACAAGTTGGCTATGCTGATACAAGTTACTAAGAAGTGTATTAAGGCTATTGGGTTAATTATTAGGTTAATGTACCTTTGCGGTATTATTATTAACCGTTGTCTGATGTGTTAAAGCCCTCCCCCTCCCCAAATTGGGTTTGCTGAGTTCTGAGACTGCCTGAAGCCTTTTGATATATGTGGCTTCAGCAGCCTCTTGCTCAATAGCAATAGCACTTTGACTTATATACTGCTTCCTACACTACAGCTCTCTCTAACGGACTACAGAGTCAGCATATTGCTCCCAACAATCTAGCTCCTCTTACTGATCTTGGAAGGTTGAAAGGCTGAGTCAACTTTGAGCCAGTCAGGATCGAATTCCTGGCAGTGGGCAGAGCTAGCCTGAAATACTGCATTCTAACCACTGCTCTTAAACCTGCCTATCTCAGACAACTGACTTTGGGTGGTGAACTATTCTAAAACAGGTTAAAAAGGGTTTTCAGATAGTCTTTGGATTACAGCCATTCATCCACAAATATTCAAAGTTAGGATGGTACCTGGGATTTATGATTAGTCCTCAAGGTTGTGCCACTCACAGTGCCTTTGTAGGCAGAATTACAGAATGGATAAAATGGATAAAAAGATGTTGAGACTCTAGAAAGTGCAGAAAAGAACAACAAAGATGATTTGGGGACTGGAGACCAAAGCATATGGTTGCGGGAATTGGAAATGTCTAATCCTAACAAACAAAGACTTGGGATGACATGATAGCAATCTTCCAATATTTGAGGGCTCTCACAGAGGGAAGAAGGTCAACCTATTCTCCAAAGCACCTGAGGGGAGCCAGGACAAAAAGTAATGGATGGAAGCTTATCAAAGAGAGATCAAACCTAAATTAAGGAGAGCTTTTTTGACATTGACAACAGCTTTTTTCCAGAAGTTGTGGGTGCTCCATGAACTGGAAGTTTTTAACAAGAGATTAGACAGCCACTTGTCCAAAATCGTAGCTTCCTGCTTTAGCATGGAGGTGGACTAGAAGACCTCAAAGTTCCCTTCCAACTAGTAATTCTGTAATATTTACTGTACAATATAATGCACAGACATTCATATGGAAAATGAATTGTCTTTTTAAAGTAAGTTTACATATACTGTTTGGTTTAAATATTTTTGTTAGAATATACATTTTTGTAAAGATTTTCCTGGTTTTGCTTTGAATTTTCATTTGTAAAGCAAAATTATAAATATATTGTTAAAAAAAAATTATAAATCTTTTTCAGGTTTGGCCTTTATTTTTTCCAAAAAAAATGTCACTGTAACTGTAGCATGCTCTGCGAGACTAAAACACTCTGATACTAGTTTAACTTTGGTTTGAGTCCTGATGTCCAATTTATGTTCATTAATTCTTTTATGCAACATGATCCTGTTTGTCCTATATAGGACCCAGAAGGACATTGCTGACATAATCGCGTATATCCTATTTCAGGGCACCATAATATTCTTGTGCAACTATTTGTACCTGTAATAGTGCTGATGTTGTGATAGTCAGAAAAGGTGCTACCTGACTTCTGTTTTATTTTGTTTTTTGCCACTGTAGAATAACACTTACCTCATCCTTAAATTGTAAAGGTAAAGGTTCCCCTCGCACATATGTGCTAGTCGTTCCCGACTCTAGGGGGCGGTGCTCATTTCCATTTCAAAGCCAAAGAGACAGTGCTTTTCGAAGACATCTCCTTGGTCATGTGGCTGGCATGACTAAACACCGAAGGTGCATGAAGCGCTGTTACCTTCCCAACAAAGTTGGTTCCTATTTGTCTACTTGCATTTTTACATGCTTTCGAACTGCTAGGTTGGCAGAAGCTAGGGCAAGTAACAGGAGCTCACTCCGTTATGCAGCACTAGGGATTTGAACTGCCAAACTGCTGACTTTTCTGATCAACAAGTTCAGTGTCTTAGCCACTGAGCCACTGCGTCCCCCTTAAATTGTAGTTCAAGGTAAATTATATTCAATTAGTTAGCCACTTTTTGAAATTATGACGGATCCCCCAAAGTTACTTACAACCTGATTCCAAAGTTCCAGCAGCTGTCCTCCCTAGTCATGTAAATGCATTTCAGTCATTTGGCAATCAGCCTGCATTTACAGCTATTTGCAGCATCCTGTGGTCACGTGACTGATTTACATCAGTTTTGCCAAAAACTGGTGTTTACTGCCTTTTTTTGCCAATAATTCTTCATAGCAAATAATAGGTTTGCTTAACAACTACAGTGTTCACTTAATATCCACAGATGCATTTCACAACAATGAAAATTTGCTTAACTACTGTTGCAAAAAAAGTTTGTAAAATCGATCGGTCACATGATGACCTGCTTTACGAGCATAATGACCTATGACCATAACAGGCAGGCTCTATTAAGGTCATAAGTTGAGGACTATCTGTATCACTTTTGCTTATAAACTGCCCAGAGTCATTTAGACAGTGACAGTGAGATGGGCAGTTGGAGCCCTGGTTAGAATGCAGTATTGCAGGCTAACTCTGCCTACAGTCTGAAGTTCAATTCTGGCCAGCTCAAGGTCGACTCAGCCTTCCATCCTTCTGAGGTTGGTAAAGTGAGGACCCAGATTGTTGGGAGCAATATGCTGATGTTGCAAACCACCCAGAGAGTGCTGTAAAGCACTATGAAGAAGTATATAAGTCTAAGTGCTATTGCTGTGGGCAGTGTTTAAATTTGATAAATAAAATTAAGTAGAAATCAAACCCATCACTATTGCTAAAAGTTCTAGAACTAGAAACATTCCATCCAAAACTATAGGCTTCCTGCCTAATTTCATCCATATCTACTGAGTTAGTTGGAGTTCTACTCATCTTAAGTCAAGATCCATAGGATTGCAAGTAATATCTCAATTTTTGTATATTTGTTTATCTATTTTTATAGTACTATTTATTTTATGATTAGATGTGCCAGATGTCTGATGCATTTTTTTACCATTACTTTTTTTCTCTGTCTCTTTGTTTTGTCATTTATTCCACTAGAATTCAAGGGATTGCCCATTTTATCCTTAAAGCAACATTATCAGGTAGATAAGGTTGAGTAATGTAGGTTTTAATTAATTATGGTAATCTTAATCAATTAAGCAAAACTTTGTTTATATAATTATCGGTTTGTGTGATGTTTGATTATTTATCAAACATTATCATGATTATTCATACCTAGGTTTCTCAAACCTGTGCAACAGTTTAAAACCAAGACATAAGATAGCTTCTGTTATGACATACTGTAGGTACACAAACATTTTGGGCTAAGGGTCACATAGAGGCCTGGTAGAATCTGTTAAAGCCAGATCAGGGTGAAAAACAGTGAACACTGCATATGTTTCTTAAGTATGTTTCTGGGTTTGTTTGTTTTTCTAAGCTAGGAGTGTATAGCATTAGAAACATTAGTATAGGCCCATTTTGTGTCCATGGGCCACAAAAGGAAAGACTGGTTTTCCTCAGTTGTCATAATACATAAGCATACTACATAATACATAAGCATACTACTGTGGCTACTATTATTCATTGTAATTTGAAATATTTGTGACAACCTGCACTTTGAATAAATCTTCTAAATAAAGAATATTTTGAAGAGGCATTTATTTTCAAGAGAATGTGCATATCTCTTTGACAGCATCTTTGCAGCAATATTTTTTTTACCGGAACAATTACAAAACTTTGAAAGAACACAATGTTCAGGTTATCTTTGTTTTCTAGTTACAATGCAAAGAATTGATGACATTCCACTGACCTTTACTTCACTTCAAAAGTACTCCTAATTCCTATTAGTATTTATTGTTTCATGATTCATGATTTGTTAGGGCAAAACGTTTCCCAGTCTTACATTATGAAATTCACAAAGAACTACACTGTCCTCTTTGTAGTTCAGGACTGTTAAAAAAGAAAAAAAAGCAGCTGCTAGCCATAATTTACTGATTATGATAACTTCCACTGTTTAACGCAATCGAGTTTAAAAATAAATTCCCTCATTTTTATGTCATGTTCCCAAGTACAGGGTTTTATATGACTTATATACGGTAACTCTCTTGGGCCAGAGGGATGATTTTCTATTTTTACACAGTGTATATCCTGTGTAATGTTTTTGGTTACATTGCTCTCCAGGAGGTACCTCATGACCACTCATTCTATTGGGATATGTCAGTCATGGGTAACATCAACAACAACATATTACACTTGTATTTTTCCTGACTCCAAACAGCTCTGGGCAGCTCACAAAAATCAAACAAGGAAATCAATAAAAGTTATGAGATAAAACATGGCAAGCTCAACAAGGTGTGGAGGCTGGTACTTACTCCCCCTCATCAAAGATTTGGATGAAGAGCCAAATTTTCACAGCTGTTCTAAACAATAGCAAAGTGGAAGTCATCTGGATCTCAGGGGGATCCAGCTAAAGAGAAGGCATGCTCCTAGAGTTTGAAATACATGATGTTTGTCTACGGAGATTCTCAATCATGCAGGTCATGGTTGTCCCAAAGGTGCTTTTTCAAAAGGCAACTGGACTTTCTGGTTTTTCTTTGAAGACTTTTCGCTTCTCATCCAAGAAGCCTGAGCTGAAGAAGCTTCTTGGATGAGAAGCGAAACTTCTTCAAAGAGAAACCAGAGAGTCCAGTTGCCTCTTGAAAAAAGCACCTTTCGGACAATACATGACATTGTTTAATCGAAGGAACTCGGAGTACACTAACCCTGCAGGTTCAAATAGTCAGGAAATAAGTGGTCCCTCAAGTAACCAGGACCTATGCCGCGAAGGCTTATAGATAACATCTAGCAGCTTTTGGAAAGATTGTTGGTTCTCTTGTATGCCAGTCAGAATCACTTTGGGAGAGATGGGCAGCCATATAAATTTGATAAATATCATTTATTAAATGAATGTAACAAAGTTTCAACAAGATGTTGAACAAATCAAAATAGCTAGATTCACATAAGATGCTAAGCCAATAATAGAGCAGAGCACAATATTTAAACTGCCTTTGCCTCTTTTTATGTTAGATATGAAGAACAATGTCTGCAGCAGAGGTCAAAAGTTGCAAGATGGCAGGTATAGCACACAATCCAGGCCCCACTACCATCATTGAACACATACAAAGGGTGGGAACATGTTGCTATGCCCCTCATTCTCCCCACCTTATTCCCATGGAGACTTCTGAATAGCAAACACATATTGCATTATGGATCTGATATTACTTCCATCAAAGTCAATCTACAAAATTATGCAGTTATAATGCTGCATTGCAGTAGTAGTCAGATTAAAGGCCCAATTCTCTGGTGGACCTGCAGTCTAGATACCTATTTTCTTGAGCCTATCAATTAAAATAATAATTGGTCGCTATTTTAGGTGTCTCATATGTAAAGGTAAATTGATTAGAAAGAGAAATGTTGGTTGGTTTGCTTGTTTAAGCAAGCAAACCAATCTGCTGTTATCTGCTGTTTCGATCACAGCTACAAATCTAGGCAACTTACGTAATACATGTAATTAATATTAAACTGCCACACCCCAGATTCTTCTCTCTGTTATTTTGCACAGTGGAATGAGAACATTTTCTTTCTTTTTTGATGTTCTAGATTTCTTAAAATATCATTTTCTTATTATTATCAGGGACCACAAATATAAGTTGTGTGTGTGAATCTGACGTAGCTTATATATATATTTTATTTCTTGATTTTGCAGTTTTATATGCTATTTCATCTCTTAGCCTGATTTTATATAGTTAACATTTTTAAAAACAGCCCTTAAAGAATGCTAGTTGCTTATTATGTAAAGGGGAAAAAATAATGCTTTAAATGGATGAATTGATTCAATTGTGCAACAGATTGCCAGCGTTAAGAATAAAAATGCTAATGAAAGATGCAATGGTATGATTCATTGGCCCATAAACTGTTAGCATGATAAGAGATTTATGATAAGCAAATTCATTGGTCATATTCTTTCCAAATAGCTACTGTAAGAAGATTAAAGTACTGGCTATTTCTTCTATTAATAGGTGGGGAAGTAGACTCAGTAAGAGAGGTTATTAGCATCAGCCGTGAATTAAAGTATGGGAACAAAATTACTGCCTTTTAGACTGTGAAGGATCTTCCCAGTGGTCTAAAGACCTGAAAATAACAGCTTACTGCTTTCTCGACAATGAGGTGGCTTTGAGGTGAGACAAAATCAAACTGAACTAAAGCAGGAATGCCTTGTGAATTTTTGCAGAGACAGCAAGGTCCCCATCTTTGCCTAGGAATTTCATTACACCTGGCATGTTTAATAAATATTTAAGATCTATTTTAAGATGTAGATATTTGTTTCTCCTGTTGACAAGACCTAATGATTTTCAACAGCCTGCCTGTATACCGTAGTACCAGCCAAACCATTCTCTCTAGTAGTTACTCTCATAGAACAGCTTTTAATAGGGACATTTATAATGATTTATTTTTCCTGACCCATTCATTTGAATTATTGTTAGTGCTAGGCTAAGACAGCAAAAAAAGAGACCCCCATAGAGATGTGCCGAGATTTGAATCTGGGTTTTCGTGCCCTTTTCATTGTACTTTCTTTTAGGATTAAACTTTGGAAAAAATGAAACCCCTCTATCCCTTTAGCTGAACGAAACAGCAGATTGCCAAGGTGATAGAACAAACTGCCATGTTTCTTTTTAATCGTTGAACAAGTAGAAGATTAGCAGAGCAGGAGAGGTTATTTTTTTCTTCTATGATGCCTTGTTTCTTTCTTTCTGATGACCAGACAATTTTTTAATTTAAAAACAATGCAGCCTTCCTGTGCAGTGGGGCTGTCTGCTGTTTTGTGTCCCTACCCCACCCCACACAGACAATAAAGCCTGTTGACAGTGAAAAGGCATGTCACTGATTAGTGTACACTATTGGTTTTCCGGTTTGTCATTGTGCTTTCTGAGCCTTTAGTGCAGGAGATGGGATATACAGTTAAGTTGTTAAATAAATGATGGGGAAAATAATTGACAAATGTTGTCTCCCTTTTTCCTTTTCAGTGCTAATCTGGGGTAGAGCCTAACAATGATTCTTTAAGCCTTGTAGCCCCCTTGTGGCCATGGCTGCCCTTTTCTTCCACAAGAGCCTTGTTGTGAACAACAAGGACAATGATGAGCTGGAGCTGGAACGGGAGCTCACCCGAACATTAGAGAACAAAGTAATGCTCCTCTATTTTGGCTCTGGTGAATGTCCTCGATGCCAAGAGTTTGCGCCCATCCTGAAAGAATTTTTTGTGAAACTGACAGACGAGTTTTATATGGAGCGAGCAGCTCAACTAGTTCTCATCTATGTGTCGCTGGACAACACAGAGGAGAAGCAAGATAAGTTTCTGAAGAAAATGCCAAAGCGATGGCTGTTTTTACCTTTCCAGGATGAGTTCAAAAAGTAAGGATCTGAAAATGTAGTTAGGAAAATGCCAGAACTGAGGCTGGGCTCATAGGCATATTAAGCCACAATTGGGTTTGTTTGGTTTTGATTCAGCCTTTATAGTCTATAATCTACATTTTATAATTAGCGTTATTTCAGTTGTTTTTCAGTCAACAAATTGTGGTGTGAACCTGCTTTAGATGAATTAAGCATATATAATGTGCATAGTTGATTGATAATTATCCAATCAGTGTAGATATATCAGCAGGATTTGGGGATATTAGCACAGAATAGTTATCTTTTTTAAAATAAATTTTACTAAAAGTTTTTAGGAGAACACAGAAATTAACACAAACCAAGACAGGATAAAGAAAACAAAGAAAAATGCAGAATGAAAAAACAAAAAGAAATAGAAAAGATTTTGATTTCCTTTGCAGCAAATACAAATATAATTACAAATGTATCTCTTATTTTACAATATAAAAAAGGTTTCTTTTTTCTCTTATCTAATTTTTTCTCATCAACAAGTCTACAAACTAACTATAAGTTAAACATGCATTTCTTCTGTTTCATCCAAAAAGTCTACAAATGGTTTCTAGTCAGCCATAAATATAGATATTGTCTTTTCTCTGATCAAGAAAATTAAGGTAGCCATCTCTGCAAATTCCATCATTTTTACCAACCATTCCTCCATTGTGGGTAGTCAAGAACATTTCCACTTTTATGCATGTAAAAGTCTTGTTGCATTTGTCATATGTATAAACAAGGTTTCTAGTTTCTAATTAGCAATGTATTTTATAAAAAATATTTTTAAGGCTAGAACATGATGTAAATTTAAATCCTTTGAACCACTTATTTTTAATCGTTCCAATTATATGTTATAGTCAATATTTAAGTCCATTTTATCATATATTCTTTCACTTCTTCTTCTGTCTCATATTTTCTTCCTGATAATTGTATCTTAAGAAAACCATTGTCAGGTATATCCTTCCATTATCTAATCTTCTCATGTTTTTGTTTTGCAATTCCCTCGACATCATGGTATATCATGATGAATTAACCATTTATATTTACTTATCACTTCTCATCTATGTTTCTTATGGTGAAAGCCACAAACATATTGTCGGGCACAAACTAGGTGTATACTTATTCCCTACACTAAGAATGGCCCGCCTAGGATAATGATTTTTGAAATCTACATTTATCTTAGCTTTGTCATACCAGAGATATCTATGCCACCCAAATTTCACATCATCTCCTTCTGACTCCAGTAGCCATCTTTTTTTCTAAACAATACCCACTCTTCCATTCAAGCTAAGCAGGTAACAAAGTAAATAGCAGTGATGGCGAATCTTTTTGGCACCGCATGCCCAAACCCAAGCTGCATGCGTACCAGCCAGCTGGTCTTCGGGTTTCTGGCGCTCCGACACGTGGAAAGATCAGCTGGCTGGTGAGTATGCATGCACCGGAAACCAGAAGAGCAGCTGGCAACGGTGCACGTGCTCACAGAGAGGGCTCTGTGTGCCATCTCTAGCACACCTGCCATAGGTGTGCCATCACGGGTATATAATAATTTCAAATCTGGTAGACCAACCCACCTCTTTCCTTTCCCTATTGTATTACCTTAAGATTTAAGGTTTTTCCCCATCATATAAATTTAGCTATATTCTTAAACCATTGTTAAAATGGTACATTAGTTGTCAAAATATGTATTGTCCGAAACAAAAATAACCATTCTAGATAAAACATTCCTTCTAATCATAGAAATTCTGCCCAACAGTGACAATTGTACTTTATCGCATTTTGATCTTTTCTAACTTCATTCCATGTTTTAATATAATTATTAATATAATTATTTTGAAATAACACACAATTTATATGTGTTGTAGTTATTCCCAAGTATTTTACTTCTCAGTTTTAAAGTCAGTTTTTTATTCATTCATTCTGTTTGATCTTGTATCTTCATGTTTTTTATTAATATATTTATCTTTTGTTTATTAATCTTGAAACCTGCTAATGCCCCTAATTACTTTAAGCCCCTGCTGAAGTTCCTCCACAAGAACCCACAAGAGCAGGCCAGGTTTTTACCTTATGCACCAATTTATTTTATATCCCACCTTTGTTATTTTTACAAATAACTCAAGGCAATGAACATACCAAGTACTCCTTCCTCCTCCTATTTTCTCCACAACAACAACCCTGCGAGGTGGGTTGAACTGAGAGAGAATGACTGGCCCTCAAATCACCCAGCTGACTTTCAGGCCTAAAGTACACAGGTGTCAAATTCGATCACATCACGTGATGTATCATGACGTATATCGCAATCTTTTTTGCCTTTGGGGAGCCAGGATGGGCATGGCCTGCACGTGATGCCTTCAGCCCGCAGGCCGCCAGTTTGACAGGCCTGCTAAAGTAGGACTAGAACTCAAAGTGTCTTGCTCTTTAGGTCAGCACTTTAACCATTAAACCAATGGCCCCCAAACCTTTGGGCACCAGGGACCAGTTCTGTGGAGAAAGGTTTTTCCGTGGACCAGAGGGCATGGTTTTGCATCTTGCCTGCATACCGCGAACGGGACTTCACTTGTTTGCGCAGATCAGTTGTTGACATGGTGTAGGTGCTGGTCCACAAACTGAGAGGTTGGGGACCCCTATACTAGCCCCACTGGCTCTCAATTTCTGGAAAGAAGTAATTAAAATTTTAAAGGACGGGATGTACATTAAAACCATGAAAGCAATATTTAGCATCATCAAACAAATATAAGCAACAAGGATATAGAATTAAATAGCTTTCTAAAAAATATTAAGGAAAGCTAAATGGATACTGGTACTCTCCAGTTCTTACGGACTCCAATTTATTTATTTAGTTAAATACAGGCAAAATGGGGTAAAAATTACTTAACAACTGCCTTGCTTAACAACGGAAATTTTAGGCTCAATTATGGTCATAAGTCAAGGACTATATGTCTACAATATTTATCACATAGTGTCACATAGACTTGACTCCGGGTGATATATAAACATGCTAAATATATGTATATAAACATACAGTATATAACTATGTTATGTAATAGTTTTATATAACAGTTTTATATTAAAAAATGCTTTAAAAAGTATTTTTTTAAAGTTCCAACAATCAGCTGTGCGACAATCAACCGTGCTGCTTGATTTCTAGCAAATATAAATCACGTGGCTCAGCTGATTGTTGGAACTATGCATTTTTTTACTACGGAACTATGCATTTTTTACTACCGTTTCGGGTGAACCGGTAGCATTTTTTACAACCAGTTCGGGAGAACCACCCCGAGCCAGTAACATTTCACCCCTGGTCATGACCCTAGGACTATGAGCTCTGTTACCTGTCTATTAGATCTAAATCTTTCTTGATTGGTTGAGACTTCCCAAGAGATCACAAGCAGTTGGGCCCAACTAATTTTGAATGCTTCCTTGTGAGAGAGGGAGAGTCCACCTGTCTTTGGTGGTTCTCCTTCCTCTGAGGATGGTTCCAGTTGTTGGGTGTATAAGAGGTTCCATTCCTAGGTTTTTGCTTCATGGTGTGCCACAGAGCTCTTTCCTCCTCCTATTTAATATGAAAACTAATATTAGGTCATCTTTCAGTCCAGGGTTAGGAAAGTTGAGTTTTATCTCTGCTGGGCTTCCAAATGATGTTGCAAGGTGCTTTCTCAGTACTTGGAGGCTGTGGGGGCCTGGATTGGGAAGAACCAACCTCAGTTGAACCCTGACAAGACTCCATGGTTGTGGTTTTTTGGGTCCTAAGTATTTAGTGATTTTGATCATGAATGGGGTAACACTATCCCAGGCAGAATGGTACATAATCTGTGAGTTGTCCTAGATTCCTAACTCCTACCTGAGGTGCAGACGGTGGCATTATCTAGGACACCATTGGACAATTACATTTGTGAGTCAATTGTACCCATTCCTAAGCTGGAAGCCACTGCTTGTGGTAACTCATGCCTTGTTCACCTTCCAAGTGAACTATTGTAATATGCTCTACATGGGGCTATCATTGAAGAGCATTTGTAAGCTTCAGTTGATCCAGAATGCAGTGTTACTTGCATTATTGGGCACACCATAACATTGCTGCTACATGAGCTGCACTGGATTCCATTGGGCTTCTGGGTACAATTAAAAGCTCTCACCTTTAAGCCCTGCTTGGAATGGGGCCAGATTACTTGCAGGACCACCTATCATTGATGGTTCCTAATCATCCCATTAGATCAAACAGAGTGGGCATACTCTGGATGCCATCAATGGAGCAGAGCAACCTGGTGCACCACAAGAAGTGTGCCAACTTTGTCATGGTGCCCATCCTGTGAAACAGTCTCCCTTTCCTTAAATATAGATAGCCTTGACCCTGCTGGCTTTCCAGAAGCTGTCCAGAACTGGATCTTCCCCCAGGCACAGGGGTTGGGAAGTTTGTGGTGTGGATGTTGTTTATCTGAAGAGCTGATATTATGCTTTTTAGGGGCTTCAACCCAATTTGTTTATTGGATCTGTATGGTTGGTTTTTATATCTGTTTGCCATCAAAAGTTCTGTAAGTAGGTAGATAGAGATAAGTTCAGAGATGTTGGTGAAGAAGCTCATTAAGCAACCTTGAGAAGCAACCCTATTCTGGATCTTGGCTATAGTGACACATAAGGACGGGGTGTCAGCACTCTCTAGCTGCTGCTCCTTCGTTACACAATATTGCTCATCTGGAGTCTAACTGTTGCTTAATCAAGAGCTTCATGCTGGATCTCTCCAACTGCTAATCTGAATGTTTTCTTTTCACTCTCTTGCTAAAGCAGGATTTAATCCCTACAACAGGGATAGTAGGAACAGACAGCCTAATGCTGAAAACAGGATCTCTGTGCTGGGCCATAATATAATAGCATATTTTGCATTTCCTTGTCTCTTCTCTATATTGTTGCTGGAAGTGGGAAGATTAATTATATGATGATGTCACAGGGCTAAGTAAGAGATCCAACCTGTTACTGGGGAAAGGGAAAGAAGTTTGCAGATAAATGCTTTAGGGAAGGACCCAAGGGTGAGCTGGACCCATATCCATACTGAATTCGGAGAGATTATCAGAGTGCATTGTTAAAAATACAGTCTGGTAAATGTAACTTTGAAATGTTAGAAGATGGCAAGCAAAATGTGAAGAGACCTAAAGAAGGTCTTACTCACAGCAGGCTGGGGGCATTAATCAAATTTATCTCATTCATTTATTTTCAGAAAAGCAAAAACAAACAGAAAAAAATGAAAGAACCAGGATGTCTTTGTTAGAGTACTAATAAAGACTTTCCTTGCCACCCCTCCCACTGCAGGTGCTAAACCTCTTCTTAATAAATTGACAATACATGTTTGGGACTGGTATATATTGATGATAATGTCCAATCGTTGTACCTGAGTATAACCATACAAACAAATGAATAATTGTAAAAAAAAACCTTAGGTTTGTGATACCTCTTTCAGCTTTCCTCCTATGAAAATCCCAATATGTGCTCCCCATGTTCCAGCTCAGAACTTTTGAAACTTATTATTTCTTTCTGCAACATTCCTAGGGAGCTGACATTAAGATTTTCAGTGACCCATCCCCCTGCGGTGGTAGTTTTGAAACCAAATGGTGAAGTCATTGCCCACAATGCTGTGGAAGAAATCAAAGAGCAAGGCACAGATTGCTTCAAGAACTGGCAAGAGGCAGCTGACTTAGTGGACAGGAACTTCCTTTTATCTCAGGACTCTGAGGACATGACCCTGAAAAGTATCACTGATCCCATTCGGAGGTTCAAGTACAAACTGGTTAAGAACAAAAGAAGAAGAAGCAAAGATGGTGATAAAGGTGAAGTCTCCTGAGGAGATGTTCCTTCTTGGAACTTCAGGTTGGTGAATGTGAGTGTCCCCAAAACATCACCTATGAACATTAGATATCTACAACCACACTGTGGTTGGACGCAGACATTGTTAATTGCAGATGTACTTCGAGACTTGGAAAATCTAGAATATTTTTTTTCTAAAAGAAAATGTGCAGCTATGAAATTATTCGTTATCTATATAGTGTTTATTGTAATTGGAACCTGGAATGAATGTCATAATGCACTCAATAGGGCTGTGAACACTTTGAAAAACATTCTGAAGAGCTGCAGACCTCAAAACCACACAATCTCTTTTTTCACACTTTCTGATGAGCCTAAAAAAAAAATTTGTCTGTTTGAAAGGGTGAAATGATTAAAGACCCAGTAATCCTTAAAGACCTTTTTTTTATATGCTTTAAGGGCTTAGGCTGAAATGACTGGATGTTTTAATGAACAGCAGAAGTGCTGTGCTCACACTTGCCTCAGATCTAAATCATTTCTTCCAAATACACTTATTTTACAAGCATGCCTAGCTCTAGGAGACCATGGGGCTGCACTGAGCTTTCCTTCCTGGAATGACAACACAAACCACGCAAGATAAGAGTGAAAATAGCTTTGTTTGCATACTTTATCATAAAACACTTTCCGAGCAGATCTCCCTTCTGACAGAACCCATCAGCATTTTGTTGTCTGCAGCAGCTCATTTAATTACATGAGGGGAAGGGGGAGACCCTTGTTACCAACTCTCAGCATTTCTTTTGATTTTCTGGCATCAAACATTATCCTCTGGCCAGGGTCAGAGTTCCTCAGGTGATATTCTTCCTACTAAGCAGTTGTTCTTGGGCAAGCTGCCACCAACTCTTTTAGCAGGAGAGGAAGTTTTTCTTCCCAGCTGAACCAAGAAGTCTCTTGTCTGTTTTAAGTCTCAGGTTTGAAGTGACTCTAATCTCTAATTGCTTGCCTTGCTGCTTAAGGGACTAGCCCTGCAAGTATAGTGTTAAGTCCTCGGACTTCTGACCTGGGCTGAGCCAAGTTTCACTGATTGGCCTGCTGCCAATTACCTCCCAAAGACCCATTAGATCGCACAGGGTTGGCCTCCTCTGGGTTCCATCCACCAGCCAATGCCATCTGGCTACGACCCGGGGGAGGGCCTTCTCTGTTGCAGCTCCGGCCGTTTGGAACGAACTCCCCGCAGAGATTCGGACCCTCACC